CTTGTCTTTTGTGTGTCAGTTTTGTCCGTTCTGCTCACAGTAGTGGTGACATTTCCAGAGGCTCTGTACTTAGAAGCGTTTGGCTATACATGAGTTGTGCTCTGACAGCAGTTTTGAGGTGGAACATTAGACACAAGACATTAGACTTCTTGAGTCTGTATTGTCTAACAGACATGATATATGCCCTGCAGTACTGATGAGTGAAGAGTTAAGTAAACATCTGTTTGGGTTTTTTTCTCTGGGTTTTTTTTTTTTTTTTGTAATTTTTAAAAATTTTATTATTTGCACAAACCTTACAAGTAATTTCGTTTGTGAGTGGTTGTATGTAATACAGGGTGAGAGAAAGTCAGCGTCTGTCAGTTTAGAAAACCTTGATTCAAGGCTTCAGGTAGCTGGGAATGTGCTAGAAATCTGTTTGCTGTATTACCTTTGCTATTTTCTTCTATCCTGCTATACCTGTGTTTGCTTTGTAGCCTCTTTGTTAGAGGCTAGCAAAATAGGCTGTAAAGCCACTGCCTATCAATGGTTTGTCCCCATTTCCTGTCTCTGCGTAGATGTATACTGCAGGACTGACTGCTGGGAATTTTTGCCAGGGGTGTCCTCAGGAGCACACCTATATTCTAGACCATATTAAGTGTTTGCAGAAATGGGGGGTTTGTCTATAGGATGTATGCAGATATATCCTGGCTCAGCAGGCACACCTGGACACATGCAGTGATGTTTCTTGGCTGGAGCAGTTTTGTCCTGGTTTGATTCAGACCATGAGCAGAACAAGCTCAGAACTGCCAATGCCTAAGTAGAAACCCACCTTTAGAGACCTGGAGTCCAGGATCTGGACAGCGGTGAAAGTGGTTAAAAGGGTTTTGGAAAAAAATATCTAATGGGAACATCCCTGTAGAGCAATGTTGCTGGAGTAGTACAAGGCAGTTCCTCACTTTGCCATTGTGTCAGCAGAAACATTTGTGGGATTAACTGCCTTGGGGAGGTGACTCAGGCTGCAATTAACCCTCTGGGAGAAAAGCTTTAACCTGGATCACTTCTTTGTCTGGCTCATCCCCTGGCTGCTCAAGTTTCCACTATCCTCCTACTGCTTGCCAAGTGCTTAGACCATGCTTGTATTCACTTCTGCAGCTTTCAAGGCAAATGTCTTCATAAATAAAGATGAAGGCTGGAAGCCGTTAGAGCCCAACATGCAGAGAGGCCTGATGTGCCCTGGGGAAATCTCAGTGCCTGATGCCAAAGGGGCAATTCAGGTAATGGTCTGGTGAGCCATGGGAAACAGTGCTCCCTCTGTGGCAGGTGTTCACAGCAGCATGTGAGAAGATGTGGTGGGCAATTTCCCAGATCCACCACCTCTGGACTTCCCTGGACGCTGTTGGTTGCATAAAAAGCAGTAGTAAGAGTCTGTTTATACCTGATGCCAATGAATAATGTTCTGTACTGATGTTCCAGCAGGGGAATGTCCTACGTATGTATCTATTCGACTCTGGAGAGAAAGCAGAAGTGTTATAAAGGCAGGGATCCAGTGTTGTGACAGAATAAAGCTGTGAAGGACCTGAGCAACATACTGCTGCTGTGTTAAAACCCCATTTTAATATGATATTCTTCAAATATCAAACAGAAAACTGAGAAGCAGACTTAGGAATAGCTGGCTAACAGTATGCACCTGCACGATTTCTCCATGAAAGTGAGTCTGTTCCATGAAGATAGTACTACTGTGGGATACTGTGGTTCAGCAACAAACAGTAGAGAAAAACTTTCCAGTCCTTTCAAAGTAGATTCCTCACTTCACACCAAACCCCCATGCATGTATAAGTCTTTTGGAGATTTTTTTTTTTTCTTTTCACTTTACTCCTCGTGCTGAAGAAGCCAGCTTACAAAACAGATCACTTTTTCTTCTGTTTGCATTTTTATAGTTCTGTTAAGGAGATGTTCTCCAATTCTCCCCTGATTCCTCCTCAGACTTGTTATCTTGCCCTGAGAACCACATTAGTGACTTAACCCAAGTCAGGAAAGATCCTTAATGGCTTAGCTCTGCAATTCAAAAGGGCTGTAATGCCTTTAATTGCTTTTGCATTGAACGTTTGATTCTCACTGCTTTTTCCTGTATGTGCTTTTACAAGTGGCTATAGATGGAGAAAAATGGGCCCCAGTCTTTACAGACATTGCAGTAATAAAGATTACACAGGCCAGCTTCTGCATTCTTTGGCCACTGTAAAGGGGATTTAAGACACACTACAGTGTCCATATGTTGGCAAACATCGGGACAAGTCTCCTGTCTCTCCTGTCCCCTCTGACTGATGCACCAGTCTTTGTGAATCCCACTGTAGGTGTGTTGCACTCCTCAGGCACAGTGCAAGGACTTTCTGTAGCTCTGCATGTTGTGGATTGAGCTGTTGGACCCAGTTCTAAGGACAACAAAAATAGGAAAATGCTCCTTACAGTAGTTCTTTGGGACTGAGTTCTGGTGCAAGTAGTCTGAAAAGTAGGAAGGGAAAAGGAGCTTTTCCCTGTCTTTCACTTATTCCAGTGTTCAGAGGACCCTGGTGTCTACATGCTAAGGAAGGAAACTGGGAATCGTATTACCAAGAAGGCTGACTCCATCATCCATTGGCTTTTTTTAAGGAGCATCTGTGTAAGACCAAAGTCTGGTTGGCTTAGCCCCAAAAGAAGGCACATCTATTGACATGTGCAATATAGCTCCAGACTGAATTCAGTCCTTTCTGGGATTGGAATGTGCCTGGTTGTTGGTCCCATCCATCATCAGCTCTAGTCTGGTTTGGCACTGTTCGCACCACACAATGTCCTGGCATTCCCTCAGTCTGCTGAGAACTACATTGTGGTTTATGTATGTTTACATGCATGATAGTTACTAGATAAGGATAAAATGCACAAATGTAACTTCCAAAATAACCTTAGTTTTGAGTAGATATTCTTGCATATACTTACCGTGTTCAGATTTTTTATGCTGCCTCCAGCTATGTAACAGAGTACGTGGCCACAAAACTTATCCAGGCTTGTACAGAACCGTGTCACAGGTCCTTTCAGAAATCCGATTTGGTGCATGGCTCCTTTGCAGCCAAGTACTAACTGAAGGAAGGGAAAAGTGCAACACTTTTTTTTCTCGTTACAGGAGCATTTTATGCAGGAAACTGTTGCTTATAGCCTAGCCTCCTAACTCAGTATTCGAAGATCGCTGAAACAGCTTGTCCTTTCAGTACCCCTTAAAACACCTTCTTCCCCACAGGGCATCAAATATCCTTCCTTCTTCATATTATTGGCATCAACCCTGGAGGAAGCCATCCTTCCATTTCTAGTGTAGTGACCTCAATGCTCGCTTATTTCTGAAGTCCCAGAGATTGTCATGGCTGTCATTGCAGCTCTGGTTTAGTTCCTCCTGCACGAGGCCAGCAAAATAGTAATTAACAGCAAGAGTCCTATGATGAGACAGAGTTTTACAACTGTCCTACTTCACTGGGACCTGCTGCTACAAGCCCTATATCGCCAGTATTTTCCCCACAGAGTTTGGGAACAGATTTTTGAAGAGCACTCAATCGATCCCAAGCTCTGTATCAGCATGTCACCTGTTTGCAAACACTTTGTTTCAGGTTAAGTGAACCCTGTGAAGGTAAGTCAGACATTGGGCCTCTTAGAAGGAAAAATGACATACCCTGAGCAGTGATTCAGGAAGATTTGTGATCTTAATCAGAGGGCTTGTAGCATGTGAGCATGTGGTTACCGGGCCCAGAGCACAGAACATTTTCACCCGTTTAGCCAGCTCAGGGTGTGTAGAAAATGCTATGAAGCCTGCAAACACAAAAGAGACAGCCTGAGTTAGTGAAGACATTTTCCACAGACAAAATAAATAAATAGCCAGTAGGTAGCAAACAAGAAGTGAAACTAGATTTGAAACCCATTATGTGTTGTCCATGTTTGTCTGTGCTGCATTTTTACCTAAGGCAAGTGTTGAAGCTAAGTCCTGAAATTAATTTTATTTGGGAGGCAAAGTTCATTCTGAGGTTTAGAGCATGTCTAGACATTGCCTTTATCAGAACAGTTTTTGTAGGCAACACGTCAATGAGGTTTTCATGATAAAATCAATTCCCTCTAAAGTTCAAAAAACTCTCATAAAAAATTAGTTTTTCAGGTTATACTCTCTAAAGATATATGTATGTTCATGCTTCCATGAAACTGTAGAATAATTAGCTGAATACTGGGAGCTTTGAGAGTTTTCAACTGATTGTTTGCATCAAAGGCAGCTGAAGAAAGCCTAGATGGTTAGTTTGTTTTGCCATGAGGGTCTTTAAATACTCTTGTGAGAGGAAAAGAAAGAAAAGGTCTGGAGCTGTGACAATATATGATTTTCCCACATTTCCTTCTCTTTTTTTCTGGGTTGTTTGCACTAATGAACTGGCAGTTGCTCATTTCTAATCAATGTCTGTTCATTGATCTTACACATAAAGCATAAACATCAGGAACTTTCAGCTGATGCAAAAAGAAAGTTAGTTGCATTCAGAGGCCATGAAGTGAGTTCATGCTAAAGTCTGGCGCTAAAAGAATATAAGTTATTCACATTTATTCTTTCCTAATTTTCAGTCTCTGGCATTATGTTTTTAAACAGTAATGTGGCCAGCTATAGCCACTCATGAACTATGCTTTAAACTCTAAGATTGCCATTAAGTCAGATGACTTAGTAATGTTGAGGTACTTTTTCCGTCTCTTCTGTTACTTGAAATTATGTATTATATGTGCTGCTTTATCTTTTTAGTTTTTCCTTCCTGTTCACAAGGAAAATAATTGCATGTCTTAATACAAAAGATGAAATTAATGAAGATTCTGTTGTTGAGAATTCAAGAAAAATACCCAGTTCCAGTACCTAAAGTACACAGTAAATAACCACTTTTACATCTCTAATTATTTAAAAAGATGAACTATATTTGGATCTGCTATTATGTTTCTTTGCTTATTGAGGGTAACAAAAGCTGGTTTTAGAAAAGTTTTGCATATTTTCCAAATCTCAACTCAGAAGGCACTTCTACATTTGCTAGCTCTCCAGAAACAAGAAAACCAACTGAATCAATGGGGAGACCCACCTACTGATCAGGTAGGAACATGAATGTTTGTGAACCGTGAGTATCCTGACATTACCTGATGTTGTGCCTTCAGAGTGACCAACATAGTATACATCCTTCTGTCCAGTTTTATTCATGATGAAGTACAGCTCTGCTGGAATATCGTATTTACCCATTTCATCAAAGCTACAAGGGAGAAACACAAAAAGCTAGCAGACAATTCGGCTACCACAGTGTGAGTTACTGAATGTCAGTTTTGTTCATTGCACCAAGCAGGACCCATTAAAAGATGAGGTTGCCCACTTTGTCTGCCTTCTTGCTTGAGCTGGGGAAGGTGGTAGAGGGACACAGCTACACTGCCAGGCTGCCTGATGCCTTGGGCTCTCTGTGGAGGAGGTGCCAGTTTCGCCTGCCAGCTGCAGCCCTTGGGGAACTGAATTTAATCAGTGTTTTCACTAGCATGGGTTACAAACACATTTCTCTTGGTTGAATTAAGTGTGAGACAGCAGAGATTTCTAGACAAGGCTGCTCAGCCTGTTCCAGCTGAGGTACTTGCTCTCCCTCTCAGAGTACTGTCTCCCTTTTCCTCAGCATCCCATTTTATTTCCCACTGTCTGAAATCTCTTCCCCAGCCAGTGCTCCCAAATCAGACTAGTAGTGAGCATCCTTCTTCATCTTGTTCTTTACTCTCCTGTTCTGATGCTCGTTTAGGTAAAAATCATCAGGCTGAAGTTATCTGGTCCCCTTGGAGTTCCTGTCTTGAGTAATTCTCCTTCTACAGAGTACCTGAACTGCCAGAATGCTTTCTGGCTGGGATTAAGGGTCTTGTGTTTTAAAGACCAAGTGTTCCCTCGGCTGTTTCCCATCCAGACATCATAGCCAGCATCTGCGAGGAGGAAGCCCAAGCTGTTGTTGGGCAGGTTAGAAATCCAGTGGGTAGCATCTCCTAGAAAAGCATGCTGTAGGAAGACTACAGGCTTTTTCCCTGGAAAACATGAAAGTATTCTTATATTGGAGCAGTTGTTAATGTGTATTTAAGATTGGGGTGCAGAGTTTAGTTTGTGAGAGGTTTTAAATCTTTCCTTCTTCAGGAAGTTCCCAGGAGAACTATGCACAGATATTGGTCTGAGAGACCTGAATAATTTGTTCCATGCAAGCAGGGACTGTTTCATGACATTTCATAACCATTTCATGACAGGACTGGCAAATGAGGAGGCCTGTCCCCACCTCCTCTTGCACTGGAAAGCCAACTTACAGGTCCCTGTATTGAAACCATCTACCCACAGTTGAAAACTGCTGAAGACATAACAGTGTATGGAAGACAAAGAATAATTCCAAAGAAGCATATCTACCCTTAGGTCTATTCCGTAACCATCTGAGCAGGGTTGAGAAGCCCCTGATCTAACTTTGGTTAACCTTACTTTGAGAGTGAGCCTGGTCCAGATGATCTCCAAAGGAGGAGGCATCAAAAATAAATTATTCTATAATTCTAATAAAGAGTAATAAACAACGTAGCAGTATCCAGGGTACCTTGAATTCCAGGTAGAAATTTTTATTCCATTCAGATAAAATGCATTTGCTTTTCATTGATGACCTGATTTCTTATCACCTTCCTTCAGAATATCTCTGCCTTTCAGAAGGCTGGGAATTAATATTCATATGCCTAACCTGAGAGGCTTTCTTGTCAGGCTTCTATTTTAAATGTATGTTACTTAGGGTGTTAATGCAAAACCTCCCCAAATCCAGTCTACCAAACCCTCCCCCAGCCCACATGAGGGAAAAAAACTGGGATATGACAAAATTATTAGAGAAGTCTGAAATAAGGACAGAGACACTGAATGTGTGGACTTCAGATGGATTCAGAATTCAGGCCACATTCCTGACTAGGTGCTCTTGCTGAGATGGAAAGGTGTGGAATATGCTATTGCATGTGCAAAGGGAAAAGATGGGTGACCCATGTAAGAGTAGGCTCTCAGACCTTCCTTACATCCTATAAGAGTGTCACACCTGTATTTTGGCTGTTCCTCCCAGCCGGAATTCTGAA